AGTGATCTAAATATATATTAAAATAGAGCTTAACAATTTCAAAAATGTAACGTTCTTTTTAATAACTTTCTAAAAAATGTTACAATGTTTAAATAAATAAGTATCAGGAAGAAAACTATTGCTAACAATTATTTTTCTGATGAAAAATAATGATACAAAATGTTACAGAGTAAAAATTAAGAATTTATTACTAAAACATAGTCAATTTTATTTTATCCATGACCTTTTTTATTTAAATATTGAGAAAGCCTTCAAAAGTGTTTATGACCCACATCCCCTGTCACGTTTTTTTTTTATTAATTTACCTCCTTAATGCCCAAAAAGCTACTAAAAACGAGGAAACTACTTGATTGTGGTCATAACCCACTTTCAACTCTATAACTCTAAAACTTGAACCTTGAAAAACAAGGCCGCTGTGAAGAGAAACAAGTTTAGTGCGGTACTGCCAGGGACCTTATAAGGATTGAACTTGGAACTTCTTGCACGGTGAGCACTCTATCACTACACCACTACCGCATATATATATTATATTATATATATATATATATATATACATATATATATATATATATATATATATATATATACATATATATATATATATATATATATATATATATATATATGTATATATATAATATATATATATATATATATATATATATATATATATATATATATATATATATATATATATATATATATATATATATATATATATATATATATATATATATATATATATATAATATTCTTAAAATTACCTGTTGCATTGCTGATTGGTTGGTAACTTGAACAGTTTTCTTTTAGAACATTTCTATTGCAATAAACATACATGCAATGAACATCAAAAGATATATTATAACAATGCAGCAATATATTTTATTAAAAACTTAATTCTTTTTTTTATTTTATTAAAGAAAGTGACAAAATAATGTAGTTTTGAATTCCATAACTCAAATTTTGTCTTTTTGTAAAGAAAAAAACGTTAAATAAAAAATTGCTATTATATACTTTCAGAGAGCATTAAAATGTATTAAATCTAATTCATATAAATTTTGCACTGAGAAAATACGATTATAATTTGCAGAACAAAACATACTGACATATTGCAAGATAAAATACTGTGTAATACACAAGTCAATTTAAAATCAATGCTTTTAAAAACTTTAGTCTTTTGGATTTATTTCAGTTTGAAGCCAGGACTTTATGCCTTTATGGAAACCATCTTTCTGCGAAGCCACTACAATATATTTTTCAAATTGCATATATAGACTACATTTTTTTTTCTCATATAAAAATGAAATTTTTAAAATTAACTAAATTTTTTTACTGTGTAAAACTAATAATTGAGTTTTGCATCTTTATCAAGCAAGAGTGTGTAAAGGAAATTTGAAGAAAATCTAACATCAGGAAGTAACTCAAAAACTATTTGCCAGACATAGATTAGAGGTAAATAAAAGAATCGGGAATGAATCTAGGAAATTAAAGAAGAGTATTAAGTAAAAGCAAAAGCTCTTACTAGATATCAAATGTGTACTAAATATAAAAAATATAAACGAATAAAAAAATATATATTTAACATAAACTAAAATAAATAAATAAAAAATATATTTATCTAACATGAACTTGCATAAAGAACTAACATAAAGAGTAAGAAATTATAGAGATTAATTTAGCTTGATTTTTCTTTACCTAAACTTTACTGTTTTGTTGAAATCAAGACTATCAACGTTTACTTTGTAAACTTCATTTGCCCAAGGACCTCCTCTTCCATTTAGTTTACATTTAATTGACACTCCAAACCTTTGATATGATAATCCATTTCCAGCCCAGCACTCTTTATCATTCTGCAGTGAAAAGACTTCATAATTATTTTTTCTTGCATTTATATAACAATTATACAAATGGTTAGTGTCAAAATCTCCAAGCCTTTGTAAAGCTCTAGGTTCCATATCTAACCAACATCCAAGTTTCCTATGTAAAATGATAAAAGTTAAGAATTAAAAATATGTTAAACTAATATTGAAAAAGAATAAATTACATTTAATACAATTGATTATATGATCAGTAAAAACTCTTTTTGTCTATACCTTATTATTTTTTTAAAGTTTTTTAGAATAGTGATTTCTTGATTTACTGTAAATTTTCTTTATACAATCACATTATTTTTTCTCATGGGAACATACTTTTAGTTATAATCATTTTTTATTGCGATATAACTCTATTAAAATATTTGAATAAATCAAAACATAATAATATATAATAATAGAACTATTTGTGAAACTATTTTTATTGTGAAATAATTATTAAAAAAAAATTTAACTTGATCACAATATTGTCATCAAAATAATGAACTTCTATTGCTTTAATTTTATTTAACAATGTCCTGTATTAACAATTTTGTTTTAAATGTGTTTAAATTATAAAAGCTATTTTCTGCCATTATATCTTAACTGCTTATTCGTTATTTTATGATTTTTAAAACAAAAAATAATGAATTTTTAGAGACTTATTTTTTTATCTATAATTAAATAATAAATATATTTACATAATATAATGTTGGTATATTTTATAAATCTTTATAACTCTTAGGGCACTCTTACATAATTGAAAAACAATAAATATCAATTATTCAACATTATTTAAATAAATATTTTAGCTGTAAACTAAAACTTTTTTGCAACATATATTTTTTTATTGCCTAATTTTATTATCTTTGCCAGATCATGTCATTTAATTAGTACATGTTTAAAGAAAAAAAAAAAAATAATAATAATTTTTTTTTATCCAAATGGTTTATTAATAAAAATTTATTTTTTCATACTTCATATCAAATGTAAACATTATTAGCAATCATCTTTTTTATTCGAAGTAAATCTTCACTTGTTTGCAAAGTGGGTATTAACAGAACACAATTATAAATTTGCAAATTTTATTTTTCTGCTAACTCAAACAAAACTGTTTCTATAGATACAAAATACCAGATAAAACCATTTCCACTTTATTAAATTAGTTTTACAAAAGTTCACTAGCTTCTTTTTTTAACTAATAAAAATAAAAGTTAAAATAAGAAATATAATAAAAGAAATATAAGAATTACTTTTACAAAAATTCACAAGCTTCTTTTTTTAACTAATAAAAATAAAAGTTAAAATAAGAAATATAATAAAAGAAATATAAGAATTACTTTTACAAAAATTCGTTAGCTTCTTTTTTTAACTAATAAAAATAAAAGTTAAAATAAGAAATATAATAAAAGAAATATAAGAAATATATAAAAAAAGAAATATACAAAATATAATAAAAAGAAATAAAAAAATATGCACAAAATCTTTTAGATTTTAGGAATTTATGTTAAAAGTACAGAGGAAACCTTATAAAAATTTAAAACACACATACACTATTAAGTTATAACATTTAAAAGTGCACCTAAGCCGTCTGAAAAAAATTAAACACAAATAATGTTTATAGTAGGTATCTGTACGACAAGATTTAAAAATAATATGGTCTTCTAAGTTACAAATTGATTAAGTTTTATGTCAAATAAGATTCTTATTGATTATGGATATGATACTCAAAGATTAAAATGGATTTGAGATATTATTTTATTAAATTTTATGTCGGATAAAATTCTTATAGATAAGGGATATGATATTTTAAGTAACATATTGATATTATTTGCTATATTTTACAAAGTTTTATGTTGGAAAAAATTCTTCTACACATATACATCTTTTCCTACAAGGAATAGATTTCAACATTAATATTAATGTTGAAGTCTATTCCTTGTAGGAAAGACAAAACCTTATCAAAAACCAACTAAAAAAACTTGTTAAAAGTTACTTTCAATGACTAAACTATTTTTAAAATTAATAACCTCTATCATAAAGATAAATCTTTTGAAAATATTTATTCACTTTTTATTTTTTTAAACTACCCAATGGGATATGAGCTAGCAACTAGCTAGCTTTACAGCAAATTCTTTTTTTCTTATTTTGTTTTTTCCTAATGTCTTTAACATCTTTAAAAATTCGATTTTTAGCATTCTGTTAAAATTATGAGAATAATTGAAACTTAAACATTGCAATTAAATAGCAATATGTCGCTAGCTTTATATTCTAGCTTTGTGGCTAGCTATAAAATATCTACAAATCTATAGTTGGTTGATGGCTACATATTAAAATTTTTTAGACAGCAACTTTATTGATATGAAGCTAGCTACAAAAGCTAGTGGATCTTTAGATTATTAAGCTAGCTGTCCTCGTAGCCTTGTAGTTTCTATCTTTATATTTACAAATATCGATAGCTTTTCGCTAACTTAAAAAAACTAAAGACCCTTGTGGACAAATTGCTGTCTTTATTGTAATGATTATTGCTAGCTATTGGCTAGACAATTTTTCAAAATATTAAAAATACACAAGAATAAATGCAACCTTTTCACCTGGTAAAATATTATGCATACGAAAAACTATAAATTAAAACTAAAAATTAAAATATGGTATCTTTAAATACACTGTCTGGAAAATTTAAAAAAAAAAACAATTTTCCCAACTTTTCTTAACTATTAAGGTCTGTTTGAACCCAGTATTGTTACTACATTGTTTTTTTATTTATTTATGTTTTCAGTATTATTACAATATTGTTCTTTTTTTAAATCAAAATTTTTGATGCTTTTCCAATAATAATTAAAAAAAAAATAAAAAATTAACTAATTTGAACACAGTTCTTATCTCTGTTATTACAACAATTTTTTATATTAATTTAATATTCCACTATGTAGAATGAACTAAATCATTTTATACTTGGTTTCAACAGCAGAATACAATATATTATAATACAATAATATAATAGAATAAACAAATCTAGCAGAGTTTAGCTGATGTTTCTTCCGCAACTATTTTTTGAATTAATCACTTGCAATGATAACGTCATTAAGGCTGTAAGGCTACAATCCAGTTTGTAAAGAAGTTATGTATTACTTGGTTTCTTGTAAATTGCCTCAACAATTTTAATTTAGAGGCTCTAACATTGCTTGCAGGTCTTTGTGCTGATTGGAAATTTGATAGAGTATTGTTATGATACCAATTAACATTAAATCCCTTGACTGTTTTAAAATCATTTATCAAGTCCCTTCGTTTTTTTCTTTGTTCTAGAGTTTACAGATTGAGAAGAGTTAAATAGTTCTTGTAATCTAAATTTCTTATTGTTGGTATAAACTTGGTTGCTCTTTTCTGAACAGCTTCTAAAACCTTTTTTTTCTTCGTAAAAGGATTATAAACTGATGCACAATATTCTAGTGCAAATGATTTTAATTTATTTTTAACAATTACACTAGGTTTTGCACAGTTTTTGTTGTTTCAAGTTTAAAAACAGCTCTAGTACCGCCTGTCATAGCACAATAAAAATTATTAAATTTTGCAAGGTTTTAAACTGAATTTTATGACATTGCATTTCTCAATGTTCTCAAAAGACATCAAGCATCATTTTAAACTAATAGGATATCTGTATTGTTTTTAATTATAGCAATGAGCTGGCTATCATTCGCAAAAAGTTTACAAAAATTCTTGACTATTTCTGACGTATCATTTATATACATCAAAAACAATTGGTACTCCACTCATAACATTTGGCCAATCAGAATATACACTATTTAAGACTACTTGTTATCTTCTATTTAAAAAAAAAATTAAAAATCCAGGCTCCAACTTTTATTTCAAATTCAAACCCATTTAGTTTTAAGTTCAGTAGTTTGTGGCTAACAATGTCAAAGGCTTTTGGAAAATGAAGAAATAATAAGGCAGCCATAAAACCATGGTTTAGTGCCTCAGTAATTAATTACTAATGTCTCTAAGAGGTTTGTGGCACATGATTTACCACTAACAAATCCATGTTGGTGAATAGACAGAAGTTTAATAGAAAGAATAATAAGTCAGTTTTGAGATTAATTCAGTCATGTGTTCTCTTACTGATTTCTAGATGATCTTACCTGCAATTGAAATCAACGAGATTTGCGTTAGTTAATTGGTTCAAGTTTACATCCTTTTTTGAAGATGAGTGAGATATTAGCATCTTTCAAAAGAAAAATAACAATACCTGTTCAGAAGATTTAATAAATATATAAGATATTTAAAAACTCATGTTCTTATGACATTTTGAAAAAACAAAAGGATGCGACAGATCAACTCCAGGTGGTTTCGATTTGTCTAAACTGTGCAGTAGAGTGGCTACTTTAGCATTACTAAATAAGGTTTTACTGTCAAAGTCACATTATAAAACTATTTCACATATTCACATTATGATAATTTATCATATGAAAAAAATGCTCTTACATTACTATACCTAAAATGCTCTGTGCAATTACAATTTTTTTCTGCTCTCCTGTTTCTGTAAAGTTTACAAAGTTCCTGTCTCCATTTTATAAGCTTATATTGACTATTTTTACAATCATTTACTGCACACTGATTAGACATTGTCCTATTATTTATTACTTTCTTGCAGCATTTAAAGTAATAACCAATATATCTTTTACAAATATTTGTGGTTTTCGTCGCAACTGTCCATTAACTGAATATTACTATTTTCAATAGTCACTAGACATACTTGCTCTTTGTAAAATTTATATTTGAATCTTCAGATTGCAGTATTGATGGATATTATCCTAAAATTCGCAGAGACTTTAATAGTTGCATGCTTGGGTTAAAAATAAACTTTTACATCAATTCACTTATTTGTTGAGAAAGCAGATTTGAATCTTCTGACCACTCTATTCTATGCTTTTGTTTAGTGTCTCTTTACTCAATCACCTTTCCTTTGTTCTATAACATTCTCTTTATTTTCAAGACTGGTATTCTATTAGGCGTATTTTTGTTACTTTATTTTATACTTAGGTGTAATTTCTGACATATTGATCAAATTCTATCTCTTTATCCTTCAGTCACAGTATATAAATATAGTTTAACTATATAAATATATATAAACTGATTTTTAAACATTATAATAATAAATGTTATCAAAACCTTATTTAAAATTTCAAACATGTTGATATTTTGTTTTTTTTTACATATTGAACATGATTAAGTAAAAATAATTTTTTTTTGAATAAACAGTAACAAATATAATTAAAATAATATGAGTGACTACTTACTCAAACAAGATTCCATCATATGCAACTTTTGATGATTTACAGTTACTTTCTAAGAGTATAAAATACAATTTGTTAACTAATTATTTATCATTTAATAATAAGTTACAACTAGTAAAAATAAAGTATAATTAGTAATTATATGCAATCCACATACATTTATAATATAAAGAAAAATAAATTAAAAATAACTTTAAAAACTTTTATAAGTTTTAAGTAAAAATGTTCAAACAAATATAAAACACATAAACTAAATTCAATAAGCATTTTTAAAAAATACCAAAAACTCCATAAACATTTTGAAATAACAGAACCAATAGCAGCAGTGAATTTACCTGAAACGAATTTAAGTGTAAACAAAGTGTACAAGGTTATAAAATAAAGATTACCAATACAAAAGAAAAAACTTGTTAATCATCAACATTCATAGAATAAAAAAGTTAAAAAAATAACAAGTTTCTCCTCTTGTTAATCATCAACTCATCATTCGTTCATTATTTTCATACTCAGACAAATCAGTTAATTTTATCAAACTTATTTAAAAGCTAACTTTTCTTAAAAATCAAAGTCAATCATTTTAACTCATAACTTATGTAAACAAAAACATTTCAATTGATAGTTAAAACTATGTTTGCTAGCTCAAAATTTTTTTTAAACTTTATTTTTAAACAAAATCACACACATTTGATGAATTTCAGAAGTTTATTGAAGAGATTTTCAAAGTTTACAAAATAAAAGTTTTTAAGACTTAAAAAAATATAAATTGAAAACTTTACATAGACATGTGGCATGAAATTTTGAAACCGATTATAAAATTGATTGAAGACAGATTATAAAACCGATTATAAAACCGATATAAGACAGATTATAAAATTGATTGCAGAACCGATTATAAAATTGATTGCAGAAATTGCATGATTACAATATTCTATAAAAAAAATGTGCTATGAAAGTCTAAGTATTCTGCAAAAATGCTTAATATTTGTTGCATTGCATTAATTTTTAAAAAACCACATAAAGTTTGTTATGAGAAGAAAGATTTTCATATGAAAATAGACAATATATATATATATATAAATTTATATATACATATATATATATATATATATATATATATATATATATATATATATATATATATATATATATATATATTTATATATATATATATATATATATATATATATATGTATATATATATATATATATATATATATATATATATATATATATATATATATATATATATATGTATATATATATATATATATACATATATATATATAAATATATATATATATATATATATATATATATATATATATATATATATATTTATATATATATATATATATATATATATATATATATATATATATATATATATATGTATATATATATATATATATATATATATATATATATATATATATATATATATATATATATATATATATATATATATATATATACCCCTATAACATTTTACTAGTTTCGTTACGTCTCAATTGGTTACAATTGGTAACAAGGTTTCATTCCCTTATTTTTAAACGATATAAACGATATTTTTAAACAATGATAAACAAATCTTTACTGATACCGCAGTAAAAAGTTGTTTATCATTGGTGTATCGCCAGTTACCATCTTTATTTTATTTTTTATTCTAAAATATCTTCGTGTCAATTGGTTACTTTGTCACGAAAAAAAAGTAAAGTTTCAATCCGCAACGTTACGTCTAATTTGTTATTTTTTAATTTTAAAAGTGTAACCAATGGACCGTTTCCTCTATAGAAAAAAACCGCAATGCATTTTGGTCTTTGTATTCACCGAAAATAAACAAATTAGAGTTACAGCTTTTTAAAATAAACAGTTAATTTAAAAAGACTTTTCTAAATGATTTCAAACGATACAATGTTTTGTGATAAACTAATAACTCATTCTATTAAAGAATATATTGCTGTTGAGTCAACAACAACAACAAAATACCGTGGTGGCATAACTTGTTGTGTTCCATTATTCAACAGTAATTCGCTCAAAAACAAAAATTTATCATTTTCTATCATCCTAAAAGTAAGTAATTTAAGAAAAAAATGGCTGTCTTTAATAAGTAGAAAAAATTTTGTTCCTTCCATTTCTCATCGGGTTTGTTCAGTCCGCTTTACAGGAGGAAAAAAGACTTATATGAACAACTGTCCATCTTTACTGTCAAAACAAGTTTAAGTCAACATAAAAAAACCAAGCACCACAGTAAATAGTTCTATTGGATATAAAAGAAAAATAGACGAAATTGAAAATGTAGAAAACGATGTTGATTTTTCATTTGAAGAAACCGAGCCTGAAAAGTTAAAAAAAGAAATTGTTATCCTAAAGGACAAACTGAACATTATAAAAACTAAAAAAAAAAAGAAATGAAAAATATTATTATGAACCAAAATCACACTATCAATAAATTAAAATTTACAGTTGACAAATTTAAACATAATCAAGCCCATTTTAAATTTTATTTTGGCTTTGAATCATACAATCTATTTAAAGTTCTACTAGAATATTTAGAACCTGCTGCAAGCAAACTTATATATTGGGGGTCAAATACAAACATTGATAGAACAACAGATTTTAATTACAATAAAAAGGGAAGAGTACGCATAATGAGTTCAGAGTCTGAATAATTTTTAGTTTTAACGAGATTTCGACTTGGCCTTTTAATTGAAGACGTAACGCTGCGTTTTGACATATCCTCAAGTCATGTTAGTAGAATCATAGTTACATGGAATGACTTTTTGCATTCTCAAATGCGTATGCTACCAATTTGGGCAACAAAACAAACTGTAAAAGAAACAATGCCAGAATGTTTTAAAGAAAAATATGAATCAACAAGGGTTATTTTAGACTGCACTGAACTATTTATTGAAATGCCTACATCTTTTCGAAGCCGGTCTGCAACTTTTTCTAATTATAAACATAAAAATACAGAAAAAGGATTAATTGGAATAGCACCAAATGGAGCCATAACTTTTGTTTCTGATTTAACTTTTGCCACAATCTTTAGTAATTTGTTTGTCCGAAAAACAACTGTGGTTGTTTTTCGGACAAACAAATTACTAAAGATTGTGGCATATACAACCTGCTTGAACCAGGAGACAGTGTAATGGCAGATAGAGGTTTTGATATTGCTGATAATTTACCAAAAAATGTTTCATTAAACATACCACCATTTTTAAATGGAAAAGCTCAACTCAGTCTTGAAGATAAAAATGAAACTAGAAAAATTGCTACTGTTCGTATGCATGTAGAAAGAGAAATTCAGCGAATAAAAAATTATCATATTTTACAAGCACCATTTAAATTGTCTATGGCGCCAGAACTTAATAAATCTTAGATATTTTGTTGTTATTCAGCAAACTTTTTGCCACAACTTGTTTCAGATAAATAAATTGTTTGTAAAAAATATAAAAACTTTTAATCTATACTGCAAATATATTTTCTTGCATAAACTCGAAGTAAAATTTAGTTAATTTTGGTAAAGTAGTTTTTTCCCATTGCTCCTTAAGAAATTTGATACTCTCAATAAAAACATCTTTTTCAGTTTAAATTATAAAATCTAGTTCTTTAATCTCTAATATTGCCATAATACCTTGACATTGATAAAAATAAACATGATTTTGTTTAAGCATTGTTTTGCCATCAATAACAGCAAGAAAAAATGTTTTATCTAGGCAAGCTTCAGCTATAGTTAAATCTTTTTTTGAATATGGACATTTGATTTCAATAGCCTTTATTTATTTATATACTAATACAATTCCATCATGGCTTGTACCGAGCCAAGGGCATTTTGGGTTAATGATAAATCCGCATCTTGTTACTGATACATTTTTTATATTTTCATACTTTTTTATTGCAGTGTTTTCATTTATTTTACCCCAACTACAAGCTTTGTTGCAAAAGTTATTTTTATTGTTTTTCAAAATTCTATTCAAAATAGAAGCAGGAAATATACTTTTTTGTCTATTAATAACAAAACCAAAGTTTGAAGATGTCAAGCGTTTTTTTCTTTCCTCAAACCATAAACTTGTAGATTGTGATAAAGTAGCTCTTTCTAAAGTCTTTATTTTCTCTTTGATAGAACTAAATATTTTGAAATAAACATTAATTGAGTTTCATCAAATTCAAATGAGTCACTGAATTCTACTTCAAATCCATTAATTATGGTATCAACAAGATTAAATATAATATCAGAATTTAAATCAAGTTCTTTTACTTTTAGCTGATATTCAGATATTGATGTTTCATAGTAGGACGTGGAATGATAATTGTTTCCTTTTAAAAGGTTTGCAAATGCTATTCCTTCTCTCAGATTATAAAAATTGTCAGACATTTTTTTTATTTTTTCATCGCTTGGACTATGTGCAAAAATTGGGGTTGCACAAAAGTTTCTATTTCCTGATACAAAAGGACGCTTTCGTGAGTTGTTTAGATTCTTTTTTAAATCAATCTTTTCAAAGGAAACTTTAGAAAGCTTAATTGGTTCTGAGTTTTTTCCTTCAGCAGGAACATGCCATTGCTGCAACACTTCTGTGCATGTTTTATCGAATGGTACAGAGTTTAAATTTAATTATTTATATTCATTTAATTGAAGTAATACTGCAGCAACATGCTTGCAGCATCCTCCTATACCAGCTTTACAATTACATTTAGCATACAAAATATCTTCTACTTTTTGACAAAGATGTACATAAATAAAGTACTGTTTTTTTTTCATTGAAGTTGAAACGTTTGCTCTAACAAGAAAAAAGTTTATTTCAATGTTGACATAAGGTTTAACAACTAAATTTTTAACGAAGTTCTCCTTAAATAGCTGATACCCAGAGATTTTATACTTTAAAGCACCTCTAGCTCCAAAATCAGTCGAACTATCGTCTATAATTAAGTATTTGCGTTTTTTTTCTTGGCTTATATTAGGTAGTAAAGAAAGACATCTTGTCCAAGTGCTTATTTGCTCCTATACAACTTCTTCAGCATTTATTTGATTAAACTGACTAGATAATTCTCAAAATACTGGTTGAGTAGCGATTAAAATATTTTTAAAAAAACATGAATCAATATCAATAGCATTTGAATCATGTTTCAAACTAATTTCATAGCTATCAATTTTGCTTATTGCTGTCATGATAATATGTTTTGATAATTTGTTTATTTCCGGTGAATACAAAGACCAAAATGCTTTGCGGTTTTTTTCTATAGAGGGAACGGTTAATTAAGACGTAACGTAACGTGAAAAAAGGCGCAAATAAAATATGTCTCAAATGCAGATTTTTTTTTTACGTTAAGTTACGTCTCAATAAATTACACTTTCAAA